GGCGGTGCATTGCGGCGGCAAGCCTCTGATTGCAGAGGCGTTGCTGGGTTTTGTCGACGTCTCTTGTTTTCGGATTTAAGTTAATTTTGGATAGAAGGATAAAATTGCCAGTTTGGTTAATTTAGGGCGAAAATTTTAAATATTTAGGGCGTTAAATAGAAATTCAGGTTTCTTATCACTCTGCAAACCTCACCATCAGATAGTTTCTCCTCCAATAACAAAAGTTAATATCAAAGCTTTTAGTTAGACGACTCACATCATCAAAATAACGATAATAATTTTTTTGTGTAGTGTATATATTCAAAATGAAAAGTATGACATATACGCTATCAAACAAACACATGATCCACAATCGAACTTAATTTAATTTGGATTCCCATTTTAATCCAATTTAATACGATGCCTTGCCTATCATGAAACATAATTATATTGTTAGTAAACTCCCTAAACTCCCATCATCTATGTTGTACATATTATATTGTGTTCTGTTCTCGTTGATACCTCTTGTACCTTAGTTGACATTATCACATGTTTATTCTTTTTTTGGTTGAGTTTCATACATTACCTCGTGATTAAACCAACGTTATTTTTGAATGAAACGAAAAAAATTAAACCAGCCACAGGAGAGCCCAGACTTGAAGCTTTCGAAGATGCTGACTTTGCAGGCTGGCTTGACACGTGCAGGTCCACATCCGACTGGTGTGTGAGGTTTGGCAGCTTGTTTATTTCAAGGAGGTGCAAGAAACATGAGCGAGTTTCTAAATCTTCTACCGAGGCAGAGTACATATCTATGTCTGAGGTTAGTTCTGAACTGGTATGACTAAAACATCTCCTAGGTGAGGTGGGTGTCAAATGCAGGATGTCTATGGGACTGTTTGCTGATAACACGAGTGCCATTCGGATTGTAACCAATCATGTCATGCATGATAGGACAAAGCATATTGAGAATCATGTTCATTACATCAGACAACTGTGTCGGAGTGAGTCATTCAGCTCAGTTATTTGTCAACAGAAGATCAAACTGCAGACTCGTTGACAAAAGCAGTCGGAACCAGCCGTCATTGGTTTTTATCTAACAAATTGATGTTGCGTAAGCACCATCAATTTGAGGGAGAGTGTAAAAATTGTGATATATACTTAGTTTGGGTAGCTTATAGTAATTGTTCTTTTACGTAAGTTAACCTAAACTAGGTAGGGCTAGGTGTACACGTGAGCTGTAACCCAGCTATATATATTCCCTTCTCTGTATCATGTAAACTAAGCTGAATAAAATTGACTCTATAGAGTGCTATCTCTCATGTGGACTAGTACTGATCATCAGAAAAACCATGTAAAATCCGATGTTCGTGTTCTTATGTTTTGAGTTTTTATAACAGCTCTGGAGCGAGTGTCTCAGAGCCTGTCCAAGTGTATGTTTCCGTGTAACGTATATTACGAGTGGTGATGAGGTGAAACAACGTGAATGACCAAAAGTAATAGGTACTAACTCAGCTTTGACATTAATAATAAGGTTGGTTTCGAGTTGTTGGAAACTTCAATTGACCAGCATTCAAATTCTGGTCGTGGCATGACAATAAGGTTTCGGAAAATTTGTGGAAGATTGTTACTTAGTGCATTGATTCATGAAGAAACAATATGAAAAAAACCTGTTTGTAAAAATAAAAATATATTATAAATCTGTTTGTAAAAAAATGTTGAGTAAATTGTTCACGTATACCATTTATATTACAACACAAGTCACATATAGGAATCAAATTGAACAAAATGTTAAGAAGAAGAAAACACTACTCATGCATAAAGCCCGTTCGAGCCAATAAAATTCACTATTTCTCCTTATAGAATTTAGTTGCCCTCTACTGAACCCAAGGTTAATGGAACTATTCCTCCCAGGATAGAACGGACGTACCTTTTTTAGCGTACCGATACTTGAAACCCCAGAAACCAGCGAGCGCACCAAACGGCGAGAAGTCACACGACTCTTATTTCTTTTATGTGATTGCAGAGAGGAAAAATAAATGAAGAATAAAAACTATTTTTTTTTCTTTCTTTCGGCCGAAAATCATTTGTGAAAATCTGCGTTGAAAACAGAGGGGGGATGGTGCTATTTATAGAAAATGAAGGGATGTGACCTTTCGGGTGGGTGGTTACACCCCAACCAACACATTGGTTCATTTTAAAATAATGAACCATTACATCAGTTCGACTCATGTTAGTTGAACCTGTTGGTTCACTCCAACCACCACATCGATTTGCTGTTTGGTCTGATTGGTTATACAAACTAGTTTGACCAATTACCAAAAGATTTAATTAAATCAATTGACCGAATCCAAGGCCCCCTTCCCACATATAACCCATATGGTATTTCATAGACCTGGCAAATTACAACCCGACCCGAATCCGCCCGAAAAGTAGAAGTTTTAATAACCCGAAACCCGATAACCAACAATTTTTTGGGTCGGGTTGGGTGGGTTAGCGGGTCGACCCGTTAGACCCGCTCCATTTTATATATCACTCCCAAAATGATAAAACCACTCTTAAATTGGTGAGATATTTAAATAAATTCACATGGATTTGAATGACATATGTTTGGAGCTTAAGGATAATCGAATATCGTGTGTTTCTTGTAATAACATTGCTCTTGTGATTGTTTTTTGACGATTTGTGTAATTTGTATTTCATTTAATTAGCATAGGAAGATTTGAGAATATGTTAATGGACATGTGTTAGGTAAACCGTTGTCATGCATTTGTGAAAATTTGTGTTCTTGAAGAAAATATGAAGCATGTTTGATATTGTTTCTGAGAACGCTAATAACCCAAAACAACCTGTAACCCGACCAGAAACCGAATGGGTTGGGTCAATATTTGACCCGAAATTAGCCTTGCAAACACGACCCGACCCGTAACCGAAAGTCTCGACCCGAAATTACCCAACCCGACCCGATTGCCAGGTCTAGTATTTCAAAAGCTTCTCTTGGCTCCTTCCAATTTCATTCTCATTCACACCATTAAAAATCTCAACAAAAAATTAATAGAAACCTGCCGTAGATTGATTTTGCATGAATTATTATTGTTATGTTTATGTTTATTATTTGTGTAGTAATTAGAGATATTTTAGATTTGGGATTGTATGATAACAATGATTTATGTAATCGTGCATAACTAGGTACGATCTCTTAATTATAAATGCATTCATTACTCTTTGTTATATCTTATATTTACAAATCCTTATATTAATCTAGATCATTAGCAAAATAAGAATTTATCAGAAAAATGAGTCAATTGAATAGTAATAAAGAATAAGTCGCCATATATAATAAATTTTTTACTTCTTCCGCACCTTATTATGCTTTTCGTTGCTAAACGGACAGTTCGGTATAAAAAAAAACCCGATGCAGATGACCTCCAAAACTCTAAATTTAAGCAAAATTATTTATTTTGTAAATGACTCATTTGCCGATTTGTGCAGGGAGGCTGTGTCCTTGTCTCTAGGGTTGCAAATGAGCCGAGTTGCTCGCGAGCGGCTCGGCGTTCGACTCGAGAAAAGCTCGTTCGAAACTCGACTCGTTAATAAACGAGCCGAACACGAGTTCACCTTTGTTCAGCTCGTGAAGCTCGCAAGCTAGCTCGACTCGGTGGCTTGTTGAGCTAAACTCGTGAGCTGGCTCGTTTAGAGCTCATGATATGTCTTGACTTGTGGCTAGAGAGCCAACTCGATTACCAACTTATGGACGAATCAATCTATATCTTATGATTTTAATTCATATGGTTGTTAAATTATCTATCTCACCATATATAAGTTTAACACGTTGAGTTTGTGAGCAAATATATCTTATTTTCTACTTTAAAAAGAAATTATGCATCATAATTTGCTTCGATACTATGAAATAACATGATTTGGAATAGTTAAAATTTATTAACTAAATGATATATGATACCAACAAAGTATAATATGAGATTAGCTAACAAAATAAATCACATGTATTATGATATACAAAAAGAAGTATCAAATAAAAGTTAAGATTTTAATAACAAGCTAGCTCGAGCTCGACTCGGCTCGTTAATAAATGAGCTGAGCTCGAGCTCGATTCGTTTATTAACGAGCCGAGCTCAAACTGAGGTAAGAATCGACTCGGCTCATTTGCAACCCTACTTATCTCCTTTCAAATATGGATAGGGGTTTGAGTTTGACAATTGGCATGCATGTGCTGATACGTGTTGAAATCGTATGAGTGAATGGATCCCTTTCTTGGCGGGATTGAACCGGTTTTCTCCTTTCTTGGCGAGAATGACCAGGGGTTTCTTGTTTTCTGAAATTGCTTACCGTTACTCATTACGTTCTTAACTTAAATTCACAAAAACTTAAAATGAAAAGTCCTATCTAAGTGGAACTAATCCCACGTCAACCTAAGCTAACCAACTAACCATAAGATGCTAAACTCATTCCCCCTATTATGCAAACACTCCTAAAGACTCTAACAAACAGAGGACTCTAACAACCCTACTTACCCATTAACACCACTAACTAGAATTATCAATCAAGTGCAACTCCCTACAACGACAAGCTTGCTACACGGCTTAAGGCCTAGTGCCTCTGCGAACTGGGCTACTCCTCATCGTTATGATAGCGGTGTTGGGCTACCACACTCGAACTGAACGATTTATGGGCTCATCATTACCAACCCCTGAAAAACGGCCTTGTACTCAAGGCCGAGCTTAATGAAGCGATCATCGACAACGGAGCCTTCCAAAATGACGCGCGAAAGACGATAATGGGGATTGCATTGGTTGCTCACGCGGCAGCATGGCTTTGGTCGCTTTCGAAACTTCCAGGTTGCAGCTTGACCTCCGTTCCTCATACTCGCATTGGCTAGAACTCTCTGCTTCGTAGCTTGATCATCAGTGCGGCGGACAATTGGCCTTTCAACCCCACGTGACTTGTACCATGGACAAAGTAGAGAAAGCCTTCCCCCATGATTATCATATTTGCCACACACTAGAGTTAGCCTTACGCGTTTATTTGAGTAGACAAACAGCTGCTGCCGCCACCCCATCACCGCCCCATCAAATTCTAAACGTTCCGGCGGTATAAGATGCGTTTGATAGTGGAATTTTTTTGTCCAAAGACTTGACTGGGAGTGCTTCCATACGTTCAAATTCTACTCTCTTGTCTTCCTCCTCAATATCCTTCTTCCTTCTCTTCCACCAATAAAGAAAGTCGGCATCCATACCCCATAGCCCTACTGTTCCGGGGAGTTTCTTTCTAAACCGCCAAGGGTTTATATTTCCTAAGATGACTATGCATCGAATAGGAATCACACAATTGGGGATTAAGTCGATTCCCATTGATAGGACATACCCATGTAGTTGATGCGGGCGGTTGCTAACCAATAGGGACTGCGGCTAACTCTCATGGTGCTTCTTTTTGGCAAGGCATGCTGAAACAGGAGCGATCTTGACTGATAATTCAAGGCGTGACTCCAGCTCAAGGGCGATAGATCGCGGTTCAGGTGCGCCTACAGGTGGAGCGATCGGTGAACTCGAAAAGCTCTTAATCTTCCGCAGCGATGGACCAATGACGACAACAAGAGCAGTAGGTATCGACATCTTTGTCGTGACGGCTAGGGATGCAACGAGACTTGGTTGTGGAGCGATCTTTGTGTCTTCCAAGGCGGCGAGGGTATCGAGCGGCGGTGGCGGTGCAACGACAGTCGTTGGGAATGCTGTTGTGGGAGACACGAACGACATCAAAGGCGCAGGAGGTGTGAACATTGACAAAAATCGATACATTCTTCCTCGACCTCTACCCAATTGGCAGCTTCAACTCGCGGCAGTGGTGCGGTGACTCTATCGTAAGCCTGATGGCTCTACGGCAAGCTGCCATCGCAATATTCAAGGATGTCATCAGCCGATTGATGAGTTCGTCTCTTGATGGTTTCTCTGAGTTCATCATGATCGAAACACGGATCGATGGCTCTGATACCAAATGATACGTGTTGAAATCGTATGAGTGAATGGATCCCTTTTCTTGGCGGGATTGAACCAGTTTTCTCCTTTCTTGGCGAAAATGACCAGGGGTTTCTTGTTTTCTGAAATTGCTTACCGTTACTCATTACGTTCTTAACTTAAATACACAAAAACTTAAAATGAAAAGTCCTATCTAAGTGGAACTAATCCCACGTCAACCTAAGCTAACCAACTAACCATAAGATGCTAAACTCATTCCCCCTATTATGCAAACACTCCTAAAGACTCTAACAAACAGAGGACTCTAACAACCCTACTTACCCATTAACACCACTAACTAGAATTATCAATCAAGTGCAACTCCCTACAACGACAAGCTTGCTACACGGCTTAAGGCCTAGTGCCTCTGCAAACTGGGCTACTCCTCATCGTTATGATAGCGGTGTTGGGCTACCACACTCGAACTGAACGATTTATGGGCTCATCATGTGCCGTGTAGGACAAGGGAGGTTTTGCTGTTACTGCAGCACTCATTGCAACTTGCAACCAATATATCAAGTTGGCATGGACGGACGAATCCGATCTCCATAGGATTAGCGACTTGGAAGAATGAAAGATGAGCGGTATTAATCCCTTGAGAAAAGAAAAACCAAACTGGACATTGGACAAAATCCAAAGTCAAAACCCACACGACACCCGGAAGAAAAAGAAAAAAAAAGCCAAAATGACAATCACAAAGACACTCGATCATCCATTTCCACCCTCATGCTTGAGCAACGAAACCAATCTCTTCCACATTCACACCATGTTTCGTTCAAACCTTACCAAAAGGAAAAAAAAAAAAACAACACAAGCAAAATCAAACCGTTCCACAAAATCCCAGACACTATTTTTCTGCTACTATTTCTTGTTTTTGCTACGAAGACAACCTAACAAGTAAGAAACCCCTACCTTCTCTCTCGCCTATGCCGCTAGCACAGCAACTCTCCCGTGCCCGCCAGCACCTGCAAACGCCTGCCTCAGCTCATGATACCCGACTCTGTAGTGTTCTATCGACACGCACAGCTGCCTTATTGCCTCTCGCTTCTCCTCCGCACTTTCCTCCACCAGCTTCCTCTGCTTCTCCACCTCCTCTTCCAGCTCTTTCGACTTCCTGCGGGCCTCCTCCGCCGCGGATACCACCCCCACCAGTTCCTTGTGTAGCTCCTCCAAGTGCTTCTCCATCTCATCAATCTGCTGCTCCTGAGAAACCAACTCGGCTTCCACCGCATCGGCTCTTTTCTTCGCCATGTCCCTCTCGGTTCTCAACGTGCTCACGGTTTCGACTAGCTCGGCCATCTCTGCCTTCAGCTGCTCGGTCTCGGAGCAATGCCTTTCCTCCATTTCGGCCTTCTCGGCTTGAAGCCTTCTGATGTCATCCTCCAAGCAACGGCCCCGGGACTCCCATTCCCTCAGCTGCTCCCTGAAGCCGCTCTGCTCTTCTAGCAGCTTTGTTATCTCTGCCTTGATTTGAGCTTTCTCCGGGAATATCTTCCGCTCGGCATCAGACACCGCGGTTTTCAGCTCCCTCGCCTCTTGGTCACGGTCTGTCAAACTTGCTTTCAGTCTGGAAACTCTCTCCTGTAGCTTGGACACTTCCTTTCTCTCCGCGTTCACCTTGCTTTTCCATGCGGCTATGTCCTTTCGAGCTGACGCAAGCTGATCCTGCAAATTCCTCACCTTCTGATCGGAGACCTCGCCGTTGCTCTCCAATCTCTGCCTCAAGCTAGCTATCTCCCTCTCGGATTCCTGAAGCCTCATTCTTGTGATTCTGAGTTCCTCCGCTAGTGAGTGAACGATCTTGTCATTTGAGCTGCTGCCGCTTAAAGTTTCACCCTCCTCTCCCTCTTCAAGCTGCAGCAACGGTTGGAGGTTTGGCTCTAGCTCAGCTCCAGCATCTCGGCTTGCATTGATGTGCTCAAATGACTTGTTGCATTTCTCATGCTCACATTTCAATTTATCGATCTCGTCTTCTGAACTGTGGATTCTCTGATTCGCTCTCGTCAGTTCAAGCTCGTATTCTGCGATTCTGGAAGCAAGATCACTAGAATTCTCTTTCGTTTCGTGAAGCTCGGCCTCCAACTCCATAATCTTCTTGGCAAGTGCTTGGTCACCACCACCATGACCTGCTATAGGCCCCGAGTAATTGTTAACAGATGAATCGTCGTCGGATTCTGAATCCGAATATGTCAATGTAGACGACTCATCTCCTTCTTTATGGCCATGGTCAGAGGTTGTGTCCCCGGAACCCAGAAAGAAATCAAAACCAGCAGCCCTGTGACCTGACGATCTCCTAGCAAGAGGCGGTCGGTCGGGAGCAGGAGCAGGAGCAGGAGAGGGAGATGAAGATGGTGGCTCAGAGGCAAGGTCAGAGGCATTGGAGCCCTGGGATTGGAGATCTACGGGGACGCTCTTTCTCAATTCGCCGGTCACGTTATCGTAACGCTCTGCTAGAGACCGGTACATGCGGTAGAACTCCTCAACAAGAGAAACCAGTTCTGGCCTTTTCTGATAATACATCTCAGCCTTCTTGGCAAAGGAATCGCCGTCCTCTTCGATTAGCTTCAGCATCCGCTTCACGTTCCGGTCCATCTCTGAAGACAGAAACGCTTTCGTCATTCTCTTGGTCATTTTGTCAAAATGAGATCATACGAATATCTCACCAAATTCAAGCAATCATGAATAATTTGGGGAACCTTCATCCCAGAAACCCAAGATAGAGAGAGGATCAGGAATAATATCCCCCCACCCATGAGAGATATCTCCTCATTTAGAAAGCCAATCAAAATAGAACAGAGTTATTCTAAAGATAGGCTTCAAGGAACAAGATCCTGCCACCCTCCCCATGGCACAACATTTGCCTCCCATCATATGAATGGTAAAACACACAAGTTGATGTGAAGAAGGCTTTGTGGCACAGCTCAGAGAACAAAATCTGAAGTCGAAAAGGGCATGGCTCGAATCAACGGCTATATCATTGGTTTAGTGTGCCAAGTACAGCAAAGTGCACGATTGATTACGACGAAATCCAGATCACGGAGATAGTAGTCAACCCATACATTCAAGAAGTTGGCAATGAGAAGAAGAAATGTGCAGCATACCTTCAAGGTTCTCCATAAGCCATTTGTTGTTTTTAGGACTGATGTGGCTGTCCCACCACCAGGAATGCGACTTTTTGGACTCCAATCTCTTGATAGATTTCCTCGAATGAGCCTGTGACGAGAGTACATACAAACGGCCAGAAATCAGCAGCGGAAGCAAGATCAGAAACAGTCAATAGGGGAAACCAAAGCAATACACATGAATGATACATCAGTTGTTGACGACTGATGGGGAGCCATACATATAGTACGTTCCTCCAACTGGCTCTCCACGTATTACAGGAAAGGAAACACTGAAGAATGAGTGAAGGGGATGCAGTGGGAGATTCAATCTTACATAGGCAGAGGCCATAAGGAGTGAGGCAACTGAGAGAGACTGATAGCTCTAGAGATGCGTCCACTGATCTAAAGCCCAAACCTGTCACCAATGTTTGAAAAGTGAGTCCATAAGCTGAACCGAACCGTTCTATGAAAAGTTATGAATACTTTACTTTGTCGGTAAAGTAAACTAATATTACTTGTTATAAAATAGATGAAATTAATTATTTTAAAAATGAATAAATAAATTTAATATTTATATTGCAAATTTATTTTATTAGATATAATATTAAATTTATTTAGTATGGGAGCCATCAAATAAACGGATAAAAAATTAAACAAGTACGGACACAAAAATTGTAAACACATAACATACACACGTTCATATATAGTGAAATAAATTGAAGTAGATCTGCCTTTCTTTTTACTTTGTGCTGGAAAAGAAAGAAAGAAGCAGTCATGGAAATGTAAAGTTGAAAGTAGGGGGTCGGCCAGAAACTCTGGCAAGTGAAGAATGCTTTTGAGTCCCTCAATCGCAATAACAACCGTTTTGACATTCTAACTTGACTGTAAATTCATGAGCTCGGTCATATTTGTGCAGATAGTGCATAGTTTAGGTCAAGATGAGAGTAATTCTGAAATCACATACCACTAATCTGTTTACGTAAAGTTCGGGCCAATTTAAGATATTAACCCTAATATTAATAAAATTTGGTTGAATAATAAGCAACCAAATAATAATTAAGTAAACTTAGGGTACGCGTTAGGTTGGAGAGTTGGATGTTCATGTGGCTTGTCCATGGAGAAGAAAGAAATGGGGAGACTGAGTTAGTGTGTTTGTTTTGGGGACGGGACGAGGCAAGCGCGGAAGACCGAAGACCACACGCTGCCTGCTTGGTCTTTCTCCTCCTCACTCCTCTACCGTATTAAATACCAGGCCAGCTACCGACCCATTCCCATTCTCCAGCCGGACAGGGAGGAGGGGCGGGACCTCTAGCCTCCCCAAATATATATATATATATATATTATTTTGTTGGTGTATGTTAAATAAGCGGGTGGGTGAGAGAGATGGAGAGATGTGTTATTGCTTATTATTATTAGGCCCGGCCGTCTGGAGACCATTTCCAGCTCTTGAGGCAATAACAAAACAAGGAATCGAGAGGGACGGTAAGCAGCAGCAGCAGCTTGCTATTTGTTTGTTTTCCCATGGAAAAAAGAAAGGCACCCCCAGCTTGGTTATTAGCTATTGAGTTTGATTGTAATTGCCCATCAAAAAATGGTCGTATACTACAGCTATAAAAAACAAAAAATGGTCGGACTAAACTTGTCTAACTTTTATAAGTCTTTTGCTTTGAAAACTGAGGTTGGGTGAAAGTGAAACACTTCAATAATTTGACTTTTGAAATTAACAAAAATAATTTTATAATATATACAAGTTCCACTTAAAAAACATTTACGAAAAAATATTTTGAAAATATACAAATTATTGGTACAGTTTTAATTTTTTTATTACAGAAAGTATAAATTTTTATTTATATCTTGTAAAACTAAATAAAATCATCAATAAAATATTTAATATAAACCAACTTTATTTAAATAGTTATTTAAGGGAAAGAATATGTTACAAAATCCTCTACTACAAAATCATTACAAAACTCAATTAAGATCCGTCATTTTAATCGCATCTGATGGCCCAAAATAATTTCTAACAAAATAAATATGAGATGCAGACCAGTAAATATTGTACCCTCTGCCTTTGTTAATTTTTTACTAACACAAATCTAGGTGAGGGAGAAGAAATTTTTTCTAATATCCAATTCTCTTAATCGGATCATATTCTCTTTGTTTTAACTCGAAGTTTAAAAAACTTTTGCATAAAATTACATATTTATTAAAAACTACACAATGATATCCGGTATTATATATTTTGAGCAAAAAAAAAGTAGTTTTTCAAAATATGTGTTGGTTGTAGTATTATCATTGTCATATATATTATATATATCATGATCTTACCATAAACATATTGCACATCATATCACTGTCACATTATGAAATTTTTTGTTGATGGTTTATCAATATATTATCATTATACCTCATCAAATTATTTTCTGAAACATAAGACTTCCCACTATCATATCATGATATTAATGTTATACTATAATGATAATATAATATCATAATACGACAGTAATATGATGTCATCAAATGATTTTGACATCATACCAACATTATATCACTATTATATCAACATCATACCACTGTCTGTGGTAACATAGTGATTTGAAAGTGTAAGATGACGTGAAAATTCTTTTTTTCATAAAATATAAAAATGGATATAATTTTGTAGAGCATAAAAAATTATATTTCTACCCAAATGTTTTTGAAATCCGATGTAAAACAAATGACTTTGGTCCATTGAATTCTAGTACGAGATTTGAAAAGTATTTTAACAGTACACCTGAAAATTCGTGCCAACCCCCAAAATGGGAAAGTTATCCTTAAAATTCAATGAGCTTTTTCTCCAAGCTCCTACTTTCCTCCTTACCCATCTTTAGATGATCATTAGTACTACCTCTCAATATAGTTTTGTATCCTAATCCAAACCATTATTCAAAAGTTTAAATTAAAAACTGGTTTTCAAAAATTACAAAAAGCAGCCCATAGGTACCCCTCTACTGGTCCCTCACATATTATCGATTTAGAAAATAAGTGTCGAGCGCGGAGCACGATTGAATATGATTCAACTAGTGTCGATCATGAAACCAGCATAAAAAACTACTTATATGATTGATAATTTGATATGATCACCTTTAAGCCTATCAACGAAATGACGTGATATTAGTAAATTTAATTAATAAAAAAATAATTTGTATATATTTTTATGACTTTTAAAGTTAATAATTTTGTTTTATTGTATTCAAATATAAAATCCTGATAAGTATTTGTTATTTTATTTAAATATGAATGTAGAGAATAAATTAATTGCCTTCAAATATATTATGATTTTTCATATTTTATTAAATTGAAATAAACCAGCACAATTGCACAAACCGATTCGGACTACATAAACCGATTTTACAACCTCTGACTCTCTGGACAGATTAATAGCGCGATTTTATTTTTTCCTTCTCGTTCTTGAAATCCCAACCCAATTATCGAGGAAGAGAAAGTTAAAGAATTAAATCGGCGGGGATAAGGAAAGGATGAGGGAAGGTCGCGTTTGACCCAATCCTGCCCCGAAACGCGGCCGACTGTGTCTGTATGTAATATTCTAGAGCTGAGTTTGAAGTTTGAACATCAAATTACAGCTGGATTCGGCTTAACCCGCGTCACTCCCCACCTGCACTGCAGCGTGCGTGTATTCCATTTTTTCTCCCTTCCTTCCTCCACGCGGCCTCTTCCAGTCTTCCCTCACCGCAGCTAGCTAATGCTGGCGTCACCCTTGCTAACCACGACCATGTCCCTTCCATTTCAATCTCCAGTTTTCCATTTCCACCCACCGCCCCTACTCCTACTCCTACCCTCTTCAATTCTTTTTTCCCAATTTTTCAAAATAAGGTTGATTGACGTCAGCAAACAGATACAGCTTGGTCAACCAGAGGATGAATCTCGCACATTGAAATCCCAACATTTCCTTCCTATTTCAAACAATACAGACCAGATTAGAGACTCAATTATCGGATCGGCTACCTCTGTCACTCACCAATAACCTTCCCCAACCATGGGGAATCAAATCTGGAACATTACGGTTCTGGGAGACGTTAATCGAATTACTATTCGCAAATGCAATGCAGGGAAGAGAGAGAGAGAGAGAGAGAGAAAGCTTGTTCCTATAAACAATGCAACTGAAAGCAAGGGCGACAACAGCCGCAGATTAAATTGGGAATTGAGGCACACGGGTTATTGGGGTTTCCCGGCCGGCGACTGAATATTCCACATAAACTGTTACTACTATACAGATTCAGGGGCGGAGATTATGAAGTAAGATTTCGTTTACGGGTGCAAGAAAATAATAATTGAAGTTCCGAAGGAAGAGGAGAGGGGAGAGAGCACTCACCGTTACAGGGGACTGAAGCAGAGGCGGTCAGCAGAAGAGAATTGGAACAACAAACCACAATTCGCCCACCACGAGTCGACTCGGTTCACTAGTTGCAGGCAGAAAGGAAACTTTGAGAGACAGATACACGGAGAAGAGGGATGGAGAAGAGACAAAAAGAGAGGAGATGGGGTGGAGGGATTGGGAGAGATATCAATCGATATGAGAGAGAGATTATAGTTTCCTTTTAATTTAATGCTCTCCCTCTCACTAACACTTTCTCGCACTACCGATAAATGAATTATGAATCAATGAATGAATGGGAGGCTTCCTCTTCAAAGTCAATGTATCCCCATTCCCCTCACCTCACGAGGCCACGACCCCCTCCCATATTTTTCTCGCTTTATTTATTTAGTACACTTTTTTTTCTCTTCCTATTCTTTTATTAATTTGGATTTGACAGAATTGTTCACTTTTGGTGGGATGAGTAAAGGGACAACGTGGAGTCTTTACGGCAAACTTTCGGGATTTTTCCAGAAATAACACAGTTTTAAAAAAAACATTCTAAAAATAACACCTAAGTCCGAAAAATTCCAAAAATAGCACACTTTCTCAAAAAACGCTTCCTACCAGTGCGGTTTAGGCGAAAACCGCCACCCAGGGGCGCGTTTTTCGATGAAAACCGCACCCCTAGGGGGCGGTTTTGCAGATCGCACCCCCACCATGCGATTTGGTTGCAGACCGCACCCCCACCATGCGGTTTGGTTGCAGATCGCACCCCCACCATGCGATCTGTTTTTTTTTTTTTTTGAAAATCCTAACCTAGGTGGAAACTTCAAACGAACATATCTTTGTGTTCGGGTATCAGATCGTCGCGATTTTTTTGTTTATTCTGCATAACTTTATGAGATCTTGCAAGCCGAAAACTGTCGAAGGTGGTTTGATCTCGCCTTCGTCCCAAAAAATGTCGTTTGCTACACCGCACGAGCTTATTTCCG